CTATAACTTGGAAAATGGAACGCCTTTATTTAATTATGTTTTCTTTTTTTTTTTTTCGCGTATCTTGAATATCTTCGTAGTTAATGATATCCGCCATTTGTTTTGACACCGATGATAGATCTGGTAATATTATTTTTGGCAACAAGTGTTGTAATAGTTTGGTTAATCGACGACGTTTTATTGTGATTTCAATTCTCTTGTGAAAATGGCTCATTTCAAACGAGTTAATTGTTGACTGTTTCTTAATGACATATTTTTGCAAATTTAACGAATCAATTACTGAGACTTCTTTAAGCTCATGAAATAAAGAATTATTAGCAAGGTATTGCATTAAAAAGAAAAATTGTACTTAAATCAGGAATGCAATTGGAAGCGCAAAAAGAAGGTTCATATTTTTGATTGACTATCTGTTGTATTGCATCTGTTGTATTTTATTGACTATAATAAATCTTTGTAAATGGAACTTTAGGCTAAATGTGGTGAGTTCTTCTAGTTTGAGAAATAACATTCAATGGTTAAGATGTTTTGGTTGTCTTTGTTTACTGAACACTTTTTGTTTTGCAAATAATTTTCACAAAATGGTTCAAAAAAAAAAAAAGAAAGAAAAACCTTATTGTAAACTAATTACTATTATATATGGAATTAAGATCATTCGCTGATAAAACTTTTATGACTTTGTGACCTTTGCTACAAAAAGCTCACTTAGATTTGGTTCAATTTAATGCTACAATTTATAACCCTTACCAAATTTCTATCCAATTTTCTCGAAGAAGCTCAGTATAATGATCGATCAATCTAGCAACTCAAATATTTTCCAAATTATTGGTCAACAAAATCTTTATGACAAATATTCGTTAGTAACAATAAAGATCACAAAACAAAACATTCACGAAAATTGTTAGTTAAGATAGAGTAAAGATTTTGTGTATTGATGTTTTTTTTTTATGTGATATTTGTGTGCTATGCTATATCGCTTAGTCTCGTGAACAAATATTTATGAAGGAATTTACCCAGATTTGTTGTCAACCCGTTAGGCTAAAAGAACCAGTGAATTCTCGAAGACGGTGCATCACTCTATGCTTTTTTGATTGGAAACCGGAGTGAATCACTAACGATGATTCAGGAAATTTTTGAACCTTGTTTTTGAGGCACATCTATTGTAGCCAATGGCGAATTTATCACAGAAAAAATGTTGGGAAAACAACTTGCCCAAATAGCTGTATCTAACTAGCGTGGTCTAACTAGCTCAATACTACTAATCCTTGATTATTCGAAGACGATCATACGCCAAGCGTTCAGGGTAGTGGAAATTTAGGATGATTCGGAGGCAATACTGATGATGTCATTCAAGGAGAGATCGCAGATGGTGACAGTAGATGACCTATGTTTCAGATCCGTACAAAAGAGTAAATACCGACACTAATCTTAGTATTTTTCTTCAGGTGTTTATTGTTCCACATTCAAAGTTGAAAAAGAGAAATTGACAATAGATTATTAATGGTATACGTATGCTCTGCGTGTTTTTGTTAGGCCTTTGTCAAAATATCTTCCAATCTAGCGTCCGAGGAAATAGTGTTATGTAGGTAAGTAAACTGATATGCTGATAATAATTTGCGTGCGGTGATGCCAAGGATGATGTCGCCTGCAAGGAGAAGTTTTCGATGAGGTGACGACTGAGTTATGGGTTATGTGTTTTCAATCGCCTGGTATTGCATAGATTTCTGTGAATACGATATCGAATTATAAGTACGAATTATAGTTTAATTATATGTATTAAATATATATACGAATTGTAACTTTTCTTCATCAAAATTTGCCGTGATTCTTTGGAACATTGTGTTGAAGAATATTATGAGCAAAGTCTGGTGTGAGAACTTTGATTATGGAAAGTTTTTGTATTTAACTTTTAATAGAGTTTGTGAAACAGGGTAATTGTTTTGAAGAATTGAAGTGACAATCTAATCATTACAAGATTTGTCATAAGTTCTTTCTGCTCATGGTGTCAAATACTTTGATATGTTAACCAATATCGTGTAAGGTCCTATCTACATTATTCTTGCATTTACTGAAAACAAATATCACATCTAAATGCTTTTGTTAATTTTAATGACTATGAAGGATAAATAAATATTTCATGCTAGCTAAATTCCATAAATTTATTGTGAACTGTGCGAACAAAGCGGACTTCTATCGGATCTCATCACACGATAATTGCATCTCGAAGATCGGAGATAGCTTGTGGAATTTAATATGGACTGTTTATTCTCCGTGATTCCAGATTTTAGGATAGAATTCTATCCAAACTCAGATACTGTTTCCAGTTTCTAAATGCCTATGACCTTGAGAGCTACATCAAGTTCAGTTTTCCTAACTGCTGCTGAGTGATGTGTTGAATTGCTGGACGATAAACATTGAAGAGTGATTAAGATCATTTATCAGATGAGTTCAGATCATCGGATGAGAATGGTGGGTTTATCGATAAGAAGGGAATGCCATCTGTATTGTTCATGCAATGCTTTCAAAGTGTCGTAGTGATATGATAACCGAAATCTGTATCTTTTATGCTAGATAGCTATCATTTGTTCTTTATATCATAAAATTTCTTTTAAAACTTACTACAATGCAAGATAAAAAGATGATTTTCTTGCAAGACAAAATAGGTAAGAGAGATGTGCTCGAGTGGCAAATTCTCCTCTTAGATAGTTGTTTTAAAAGACAATTCTCTTCTTGAATAGCTGTTCCTAAATCTGTAAATTGTTTGCTCGACTTAAAGAAATGCTGGATGCTATCCTTAATTAGTTATAGGAAGGAAATCCGTAAGGTGTCTGTAAGTGTAGTTTGAGGACAGCTTAAAAATTGCCTCTTTTTATAATAATTTCAAGGTTATTGGTTTCAAGCGTTTTTCATGATATTTTGCCATTTTTAGATTTGGCGGAAAATGGAAGTTAAGCTTATGTCGCACAAGACGGTAATTTATTTGACATTTGACATTGTTATCACTGGAGTGGAAGTGCATCTTTGCTGCACTAAAAAGTCGATGAGGTATCAATGTTTGGATCAAGAAATCATCATCCAAATTTCCAAGTCGTTTTTAAATTTTTCTACTGAAAGATGGTTTTTTTTTTATGTTCGTAAGTTGCTGTTCCGCATAAAACTCTAGAAAGAGATTACAATTTTTGTTGCAGTACCAAAGTCTCTTACCTATTTTGACTTTCTTTCAGGATTCAGAATTCTTTCCTACTTTTCTTTTCTACACTTAAATCATCAAGAATTATAATTTTATCATCCAGAAATCGGATAAGATGGCGAAAGTTGGTGTAGAACTTGGTTTTTCTGTGGAATCAGCTTGAAGAGTTGAAGCATACATGCTGAGAGGATCATTTACGGTACAGTGGAAGATTTAGGAAGATAATTAGAAGACCTATCGACAAATTAATAAATTTGGAGGCAATTGAATTCATGATCGTGAAACCAGCTGTTGACTAGAAATGTTCAGTTTTGAGTTTATCTGACTTTTTTTCTTGACACTTATTTTTTTCGATGGAGATGCATTTCACGAAAGTTAGTAATGTTAATGTTGAATCCTGACTCTAGGTAATTAATGAAAGTTGTTATTTGTATTTTAATGTTACTTGCATTATGATGATATTTCAATATGCACAAGTTATTTAGGACTATTGAAAAAGCAACTTGGTCATTCAATATGCTGCCGAACAAGACTGTAATCTTCAAGGCCAATCCCGAGTGACTAAAGTCCTGAATTATCTGTCTGCACCTTCTGCTATTTTGTTCCTCACCCATCCACAGTGCTTTATGAAACGGGGTGTATACTTCGAGCCTACGCAAAGGCTTTTGAAGATGAATTGCAAAGTATACGAAACTGATTCAAACTTAGATTTCAACTGTCAAGTTTAGCAAGCTTAGGGGACAGTTGTAAGGAAGTTCTCAGTTTAGAGTACTTCTGTAAACGGACAGCTCTGAAAGCCCAACGAGTTCCATATACTCAAATTTGAGATCAGAGTTGTTCTTCTCTTAAGCTAATTATCATAAAGCTAATGACGGGTCTATCTCTACTCATGATATATTTTTTATAATCTTTCAGTTGAGACTTATCTGGCTTAGGCATATGGTATTGCTAGCATAGCTCGTAACTTCACAATGGCACTAAATTCTTCTCCCATGATCATTTAATCGAATATAAAATGTTATATTTTATTTATTTTCATTTGACTCATCCTTTTTTCATTAAGTTTATAAGAAGAACAACTCTGATCTCAAGAAAACAAGTAAATAAATAAATGCATAATGTATATATTATAAATAGATATGATATATATGTATATAAACTACTTTTTAATTTTTTTATTTTTCTAACCAATTAATTTATTCAGTCACTAACTTATTCACTATTTATGTATGTACCATCCATTATCATGATACATCAGGAAGTTATAGAATTTGTCATAGACAAAAAGCGGCTTGAAATGAAATCAAGATTAATAAATGAAGGTCAGAATTAATAAAATCTATCTTCAAACAAAGATATTCCATTACAGTTATATTTTTCAAAGCATCAAATATCAAAACTTCAAAATGAATAAACTTTGTCAGATGATACTTATCATACAGCTTTACAATTGAATGTCAAGAATTATTCCATAATTTTATCGACTGCAATCAGAAAATGCACAGATTACTTTCTAGCGTGTCACGTGTCGTTCACACTTCATTCATAATCATGAATAAAAAAAAAAAAACTAACAAGAAATTTTCGATATCTATTAGCAATGCTAAACAACTGGTAGAATTAGTGAACCGTCGTTAATTTTACGGTTATCATTCTAGCAGCTAAATTGTGCTAATAAAAACAATACATATAATTTTATGGCAGCAAATATACATTGTAGAACAAAACAATAAAAAGTCTAGGAATTAACATTCATTTTAAAATTAATAATTTCAGATTGCCGAAAGACATTCAGAGCTATTGGGAACATATATTAACTTCCTATACTAGGTGAAAACAGTACCGTGACACCCCTACCGGTCGAATTGAATGAGGGCGAGAAAGCGCTCGGTGAAAAAATAACAAGAGCAATATAAGATGGAGAAAAGAAAGACGGTGAAAGGGCAAATGGACTTCCGACCAAACCGCCAAGTGCGGATGGTGAAAAGACGGATGGGTTTAGGGCAAAAGGACTCAAAATAGCTGGTGAAAGTACAGACGGTGATACAATACCTGGTGATAATGCGTTCGGAGATAAGATAGATGGTGCTAGTGCAGCAGGACTTAAGATACCTGGATTAAGGGAAAAAGGTGACAGGATAAGAGCAGAAAATGCTACTGGTGACAAAACCGCAGGACTGAGTACACTTGGAGATAAGATTGTGGCAAGGAACGCACCTGGACTTAATATAGAAGGACCTAGAACTGATGGAGACAAAATTGTTAGTGCAAATGCTCCAGGTGACAGGACGGATGGTGCTCCACCTGGTTTGAGAATATTAGTGACGAAGGCTGCAGGAGCAAGTACGTTTTGTCGTTTTCGACGTATTTTCAAAGAAGAATGCATCTTAGCCATATCACGGATATCGCTAAGAATGTGACGGTGCATGTCATCTTCACTTAGTGACTTGAAGAAATCCAACGCTTTGCTGTTGTTTAAAGGTGACTGTGGGCCATAGAACATTGTCAGCTGCTTTGGGGTCATCATCGAGAATCCGGTTGTATTGAAGTCCATTAACTGTAGTATTTATATTGTTGATTGAGGTGATCAAAGAATTTTCTTGAATTAAGAATGTTGATAATTTTCATTCATCGGTAACTCATGCCGGTAATGATCTCGAAATCTTTGTATCTATTCCAAAGGATTTATTACGAAGAAAACAATCCTACCTGTTTTGGCGTAAGTGAATGTGTCAAATTTTCGAAAAGTTCCACTTTCCTAGCCAATTCAGGATCAAATTCTGTCACGTTTTCCTTCGTAAAAAACATCGGTTGACCATCTATTCCACGTGGCATTGATTTATAACCGGGTGGTAGCCAATCCAATTCATCTTTTTCCTAAATGTTTTTCAGAAAATTATTAACTCAGACTGAATGCTTAATTGAAAACAAGGTATCATAATGTTCATGATACCTGAAGACTTCTGATAAATCAGACCTTCAATTTATGTATTGCATCAGTTGTACCGGATGCTTCTATAATGAAGTTTAGCCATTCCTCGTAATCCTTATTACCGGCAACTTTCAGCAATTCGGGAATGCTGGTTAATGCTTCTAAGCCTTTGCCTTTATCATGCATGCTGAACAGCGATGGAGATAAGATGCTAATCTGAAAGGAAAATTTTTTATTTTGCTCCAAATTAACAAAGTAGTGAACAGTTCAAAACATCAGGAATAATTCAATGTTCAGCAAGCATACCTGATCATTAACATTGTCAGGTACCAATGATAACAGACGCGGTGAACCAAATCTGAGTGTCTTATTTTCTAATTTGGTACCGTTGGCACCATTAAGAACCATCGCAAGTTTAACTGCTCGTTGAAAGAGTCGAACAATTTCCAAAGTTTTTTTTGTTTTCACATTGTTTTTATCCAAACCTTGCAGAAGATGTTTCGATATATGTAATTCTTTCGCTAAGAGTTTTTCTTCCTGAGAGAATAGAATTAAATAAAATTAAAAGTTTTACATTTCGAGATTAAACATTCCGTTTTGTATCATGACTAATGTATTGAAATAGGAATCGAGTAAGCACACTCAATTTATTTACCAAAATTATTGAATTTAATCCGACAATTTGCTTAAAAGTGCTCACCGGTGTTAATTTAGGTTCCGCATTTTTGAAACTGAATGGAAATCGTTTCTGTAATTGCTCAGCGAAATCATTTTTTTCTTGTTCTCGTCGTTTTAAACTTTCGATTTCATACATCGTTTTCTTCCATCTAAATTAGTGTTCTTTTGATATGGAACTAAAAATGATTTTACATTGCTTAGTCCATTTCATTCTCATTTGAAACATTTCATTTTTCATAGTCATAGTAATAAGTTCTAAGAAAATTACTGCAAAACTCAAAACTAACGATGAATTCGGGTCCTTATTTTTGATAATTCTTGTCATCTTCGATAAGTATTTGCCGAGAATACCAAAGGGTGTCAAATGTTCGTATTCAGTGTGTAATTTATAACTGTGGCGATTGATTACACTTCGCCGTGTTCGGAATTCCACCTGTTCCCTTTTCCTGCTTCGATTGAAATCGATGTGATGTGATTCAGATTGGATTATAGCACCGTCTATCTTCTGTTTTCCATCCATTAATTTTTGCAGCTTTTGCATATGTGAAACTGTACGAGGAGAAGAATGCTAATTAATATTAATTAATTAATTAAATTAAATTAACATCAATTTAAGTAATAACTACCTATACTATGCATCCAATACAAGTATTTCTATTGATTTTTAAATATTGAAGTGATTATATCTTCCATCAGAAGTGTGAACAGTTGCACTAATAGTTGACGTAAGTGTGTTTTAAGACGTGAAACGATACTTCTTGTAGGATCCATCTGTTTCGGTTTTGCATCAATGGCTCGGACTACACATCTTGCCTGTTCATAAATGTCCTGAGCGGCTTGTGAACACTTTTGCACTCGATTCCGTTCATATTCGTTTAATTTGCTTAGGCTGAAGTAAACATTTTTCTAAAGAATGTTAATTTCAAAATGAAAATAATATTTGGATGTGAAATCGAGATCAACAACTGAGTTTTATATTTCTTTTTGTGCTCCTCCTGTCTCTTTTTTCCGTTCAAAGAGAATTTCCTGATCTACAAAAAGCCAATTTATGTTTAAATTCATGCATATCACACATGAGAGTACAGATGACAAGAACGAACTAACCGTTGGGTGGCAATACAAGCCATCATACTGCTTATTCCCTGATGAATCCATCGTTCAATGAGTTCAACTGCAGCCTCTTTTGAAATTGGAATATTTAACTTCTTACCATCATAATATTGTGCACCTGGCATTGTTTCTCGCGTGTATTGGATAGAACTTGAAACCGGTCCAACGATGATGCCTTAATAGGTGGATGGATGAAGTAGGTACACGGCTATGATCATAATAACGTGTGTCATCGGAACACATGTCGCAAATCTTGTGAACAGTTCAAGCGAACTTCAACTTACAAGCTATCCATATCGCAAGCAGTGTCGCACTCTGATATTGGTAATTTCTCATTGAGCAATATGTGAAAAAATGCGACTACAAAAGGCAACACCCTGAAAAATTGAGCAATTTACCTATTTGACACTTTCTACTAAGAGCTGAAATTTAAGATTCTGAAAGCTTAATTTTATAATAGGTTTGTAGAAATGGCTGATTTTTTTGAAAAGGAACATATTATTTAAAAAAGCTTTCTGGAATTGTAAGCTTGGAAAAGCACAACTGTTTCAGTCGATTATCTGCAATTACTCATTCCTTAATATCAAACAGATTTTAGTATTGCAAATGTTTCATTACTTTGACCCAAGTTTTTTTTTTTTTGATTACTTTATTTGAAAATTTTTTTTTACTGAATAGGTTTGAATGAGTCACCAATTTGAGGATATTTTCAAATGCTTTTTTGCATAAATCGACATTAAAATATATTAAAAGAAATATGAAAAATTAGCCATTATTTCTAAAGTTCACCAAACGTTTATCATTATTACCACAAACATATCATATTATTTGATCCATGAAGATAGTTTCCAGTAAAATTTTGAACAGTAATTTTTGAATAGCGGAAGGATGACTGATTTGTAATCAGGTCGTAATTGGTTTTTAAATGGACAACAGTAAACTCGTCTTTTTCTTAACCTTTTTTGAAAAAAGAAAAAATTTTTTTTTCTTTTAAAATTATTTTATTAACAATAAACGTTTCATTAATACTTTCCAAAAAAAGAAAAAATTTTTTTCTAATAACATATCATTTGGCTGTCACTTCATGTTACAATTTTGAATTACAATTGGGACAGTAATGAAAAAATGGCACCTATTTGTGATTAAATTACAAAAAAAAATGTATCAAAAAAAAAAAAATTAGTTCAAGTATTTTAATAATGTACTGTAATTTATCTGATCTCTTATTTTCATTTTTAGGTAATTTTGCATTAAAAGATCAGATAAAACAATTGCACCCAAAAACATTTAACATTTTTTTATTTTCTTCTCTTTGAATAAATCAATTTTTCAACTATGACAAATGTTGCGTTTTCAGTTTTGTTTATTTATTATTTAGTACATGTTTGAGCAATCAACTTCCCCCTGTATCTGTTATCGGGCAGACAACTTTCAATTTTTTAAAAACTTCAAACTGATACAGATTCTGCGAACTTTCTCATTCTACTAATATCCTTTCAGTTGTGAATGTCCTTATTATAGCCATATTTTCTTGCGGCTTAAATTCAACTCTTAAATTCAGCTTTTAAGCCTATTATCGAATTCAGCTCCATACTTGCTACTATCTAATTAATTTATATTCTCGTCCTTTACTTTCAGCCGTCTCCTCATTCCTTTCTCTCTCTCTCTCTCTCTCTCCTTTTGTCACCCTGTTCCATTTCTCCTTTCTCCTTATGCTAAATTCAGTGGTGACTTAAATTCACTTAAATTCTTATCTACCATTTTAATTTTCCGTTCAATCGCATTATTGAACTTAAAAGAATGCAGAAATGTTGTTCGTTGAGTTTAATCTTTCACCTTCAATTCCGATGATAAAAACTTTAGATGATGAGCAGATCATGGTGGTGACAACATGTGAAGACAAGCTTTAATGTATATTTTAACTTAGAAGAATGGAAGAAAGAATTAAAGTTTATTTGCAAGAAATTTGACAGAAGAAAAAAAAACAATCAGTCTATAAAAGCAAATTTTTATTTAAATTGATAAAAGTTTGGATAACAAAACAAATTTCAAAAGGAAGTATTTCAATTGCAAAGAATCAGTAAGACAAAAGGTTCACTTTACAGCTAAAAATTTGTAGAAACATTCCGCAGACAAATAAAATGAGCCATTTTTGAAATTGAAATTTTGCTATCTTATGAAAATATTAAACAAATATTACATCAATTCTATGGTAATTTTGGCATAAGTATCATATAAAAGAGTAAAATTATCATTGAATTGCATTTTAATAAACTTATAAAATACTAAGCACAAAATAACTTTTTAACATATTTTAAATAAAAATTTCTATGAACATTTTGAATAATGTGACAATATGTAAGAGAAAATAATTAAGAAAAAATTTGTATCAACAAAGAATAAATTTGATTCATTAAACACCATTTATCACTTCAGGTTATAAGCAAAGAAAAAAATGATAACGTTAAATCTTTAATGTGATTATCCCTACATATTTATTTCAATTGATTGTACTCACGTATTTCACGTATTACGAGCTATAAGTGGTTGTTTTAATATTAATTTTTAATTGGAAATATAATTTTAAGTCATATAAAGTTCATGCGGGTAGCATAAATTAATATTGAAATATTTTAGTTTTAAATGATCAACAAATGTGTTATGAAAAGTGATATTAAATTGGTATAAAATCTAATCGTTATCATTTCATACTAATGAATGCTTACTTAATAATCATTGTCATCGTGATTATGATAATGATAAAAGCAATGCTTATCAGTAAATGATATTGCTCATTTTAAATTGAAAGTATAAATTTGCTCATTTTGTAGCTTACATTTTAAGTCTCTAATAGAAGATTTTGGAATTGTAATCATTCGTTTGTTTCAGTTATAAACTATGAAATCAATGAAGTAATATCCCTTCTTTTCATTTCTTCTATTATTATCATTTTTATTATTATTTATTATTATTATTATTATTATTATTATTATTATTATTATTACTGTTATTATTATTATTATTATTATTATTATTATTATTATTATTATTATTATTATTATTATTATTATTATTATTATTATTATTATTATTATTATTATTATTATTATTATTATTATTATTGCTATACCACTGATACTATAAATCATTAATATCAGTAGTAATAATTGTGATAATAATAATTCTTCTTATCTATTGATATTAATATACATTCTATTTTTTTTAAAAAAAAAAAATATTCATTTTTTATCTGTAATCATAAACATAACATGTCGCTTCCAATCGTTTTCAAATCCAATGACAACAAATTTAATTTTCTGAAAATTGAAATATTGACCCGTTTTCAGTAATTTCGAACCATTCTTCTCTTATGATAATTATTTCTTGTTATTAAAAAATTGTAATCAGCAGGAATGTCAGTAATTTAAAATCGTAATCAGCAAGAATTTTGATGATTACTATGCATTTTAGCTTTAGCAATTCATTGATAACGTAAAAAGCTTATTAAATACTTTTTTTTTTTAAACCATTAAATTGACCTTTATAATAATTAAAAGTTTTATTATGTTGAATAGAAAGAAAAAAAAAAGATTTGAATGAGAAATAAATTAATAATTAGCTTACAAATGAATTTTCCCAAATATTGTATGATGTATGTGTTACACTGTATATTAGCAAAATTTAATTAAGTTCACCCAACAAAAGTTTACCTAACCATTTTTGATATTTTTGATTCTGATTTTTATAAATTCAGCATAATACGATGCATACATTTGAAAAGTTATTTATTTAATTACCCATTAATTTGTAAATATGTAAATGATATCTTTTAAGTTGATAGTATTTCTAGAAAAATCACTAAATTTAGAACAATCTTTACTTCAAATTTTAATAAAATACTTAAAAAAAAAATGACCTTATTAGAAAATTAAAAGACCAATAACTTTTACTTTTACTCAATTACAATTTTTTAAATAACTCTTACTTATTGAAAGCAGGCATACTCATTAGAAAACAAAAATATTACTTAATTGCGCTACTCACATTTTCATGATCATTTTTTTTTGTTTTTGTTTTTAATGAATTCATATAATATTATTAAAAATGATTTTGTCTAAATTCTCTACTTTGAATATTTATTTCGTGTTTTTTTTTCCTTTTTTTTTTAATGAATTCATTCTTAAAATGATTTTTAAAATGGGTAACGGTTATTATTTTTCTTGTAAAGACAATGCGGTTTTTTTTTTTTTTCATTTTTATGATGACGAAAATATTTTAGAAAGTTTTCTCAGTTTTTGCAATTTTTCTTTTCTTTTTTTTTATAGGAAAAAGAAAAAAAGAAACTTCCGAATGTAATTTATCAGCGTGTATTTTGCCAGTTAATTGTAAAAAAAGAAAGAATGGAAATAAAAAATCTTAGTTAAATTAAATATGAATTTTTTTTTCTTGTAAAGCATATAACATATTAAAATTTAAAATTTATAAAAATGAAACTATTAAAAAGTCTCGAGTAAATTTGAAATATTTTGTTGCAAATAATTTGACTAATACTTTGCAAAACAAATCAAAAATAAAACGAGCACACTTTACACAGTTTACAGAAAAGAAATCAGAAAACAGCAGACGAAGATTGACCGATTAACCTAAAGTAGATCGAATTTGGATTGAAACTAAATTATGATTTAAATAAAAATCATATTAAAAAATAAGTAAACTTATAAACTTATAGCCTACTACTGCTCCTTCTTTTGAAAATTAAAAACTGCTGAACTTATTGAAGGTAAAATTTGCATTACTCTAAATCATTTATAAAAATTAAAAAAAAAAAAAAAACCAGTTCGATTTAAAATAAACTAACTTGCATCAATTTAAATGATAATAAACGATGTGTTAACTCGATTTGATATCTTTAGAAATTTTCAAAATGCTTCATAACCACCCTATTTCCATTTTTACTCATTCTTGATACATTCAAACTTTTTTTTTTTCAAATAAATTTTGAAGTTAATAATCACAATTGATATAATCAAAGAATTTTTAATTTAATGAATTAATGTAGTGACAAAGAATATGAAAAGAATATGCTGCAATAAAACAGATTTATCATAAAAAAAAAAAAAAAACA